AAAGTTTATGTTAATTCAAACGATGAAAATACAGTTAAGATTTAGTTAATTCAGTATGGTAAATTTGCTGCTGTATACATATATTTTGCTATTCAGTTCGATGTTGCCCTCGGAAATTCATTCATTTTCTATCGTGAGCAACTTTGGTTCACGCCAAAACAGCAAGTTTGTAACTACTCTAAGCACATTATTATCCAGAAAGAGTTTGGTGATACATGTAGTGCTGTTAGCAGATGTATTTTATTAATTTTCAAAAAAATAACAAATTTATTTCCTTATAAAATATAACATGGGCCTATTACATTAACTGGTGTTAGGAGCAACATTGGCATCGATCCTGGAAAACCTGGAGAGTTGCGAAATTTCAAAATGACATTATCTGAGTCGGGAAACATCTAGAATGCGGATTTGGTCCCAGAAAGTCCTAAAAATTGCCTATTATTGTTTGGTTCTGAAAAGTCCCTGAGCTCTTTTTTATTTTGTCCACATTTTATCAATGATAATAAAGGTTTTATTATACTCAGGAGTAAGGATTTAACCCTCTTTACGGTAAGAAAGGCAGTAAAAACTTGTTTGAGGCAAGAATCCAATATTTGTTCAATAAGTGGTCGTTGAAAGATACGAGGTACAAAGGTTTTGCAGACGGTGCTTCTGTGCTACTGCGACAGTTGCTACTGTGTTTAACGTGAGGTGTGAATAAAAGGGAGGAACTGTGACATTTTCCTCACCCGGAATGCGCGAGATAGCAGCGGTTGGAAACGAGCGCAGCCGCTGCTAGCAGCGGCACCGTGATTCGATCTCGATTGAGACGAGTGGTAGAGACGATCCTTTTATGGCCCCGAACCCTGGAGATCGACCCGTTTCATCAGCGAGTTACGCCACACGCTGCACGCAGCCTGCTGCACGCCATGCACTACACCAGGGGACGAATTTCGCAATTTCGCGAGTGCCTAAAAGATCTACGTGCTAAAATGAATTCTAACGTTCAATTTTGTTTGTACAACAAACTACTTTCTGAATATTACATACACTGTTTGCATACTATTACTACTAATCGTTGGAATGAGCTTATGTTGTGATTTATGCATGTGAATCTGATTGTTTCATGCCATGTGTGTGATTGTGTTCTTGCCTTCTTATATATTTTGCATATGTCGGTCTAAATTTCCACTCGCAGAAAATAGCAAGTGCTCATATTTTCTAATCGCAATTTCTCAATGTCGACACGCATTTTGTGAGTTTAATAGCAATAGGGAAATTCGAGCCCTGCTACACGCTACATCCTACACGCCAC